TTAAATTAAATAAAAAAAAAAAGGTATTTGACCTAATTTATCACTTTATAAGCAAAGAAAATATACTGAGGTTTGTAGTTTTAAGGTAGAAAGTCTTTAAAGGTTTAAGAGACGTAAATATCTGCAGGAATAGAGAGAATGATTCTTCTTTATGGATCAATGAGAAACATGAAAATGAAACATTCAAATCTAACCAGCATGGTGGAATCATTTTAATTGCAACTAAAGCTGAAGTTCTTCAGGTCAGATTGCGAAAATGTCAGAGTTCAAAGATTATAAGAATGATGTGAAGGCCAATAAATCTTTCACATGAAACTGAAGTCAGTCTGCAGGTGAATTATAATTACATGTCCCGTCGACACATGAGCACGCCGAAGCCTGACGCATGGACCGAGTGCACGGTGTCGCTGTGATTAATGTGTGACACGTAGAAGTCCGATAGTTTTTTTTCATCACATTTGTCTCCGCAGAGCTGTGAAACAAAGGCCCGAGATTAAAAAGCTCTCATTCAGCCCGACTCATTAGTCTTTTCTCACTCACTCCTTTTCTTCATGATCCTTCAATGCTCTTTGTCTCGCACATCCAGGACAAGGTCATGTCAGAGTCTGAGGAGCGGGAGGAGGCGGGAAGAGAGAGGAGAGGAAGAATGTTTGAAGACCAAAGAGGGCTATCCTGCAGGGATTCTCACATCAGTTAAACAAGCATTTATATCCTAATGAAAATCTGTGATTCAGCAGGGCTATTTTCATTTAAATTCAGCTACTTGAGCGAGACGGAAACTAGACAGCTGGCTAGACACGAGTGTGAGCTCTGCAAAAAGAAGAAGAAAGAAACAGGCTACAGGTCCCACACGCAAAGCACGCTAACGAACTTCCTTATTCCCACAGACGGGCGCGCTCAGTGCTTGTGTGTGGTACGTGATTGCGTCTGCCTTTCATCAGCCATCTCCAAGTGATTGCATGTACGTGAGTGCGTCTTCTGGGAAGACTGACCCAGATCAGAGAGAAGATGAATGCATCCTGTTTGAGCAAAGCTTTGTAGCTGAGCAAATCCTTCATTCCACTTGTACAAAAAAAGAGATACAAATACAGACTAGTTATAAGGTGATTTGTGTGTGAAAATATGAGTGTGTGTGCAGATGGAAAGAGACAGACAGAGAACAAACCCTCAAGTCTCAAAGCGGAAAGCAAACCATTCATCTTCCCTCTCATATGCTCTTCTGGGCTTCCATCCCAGCACTGTTGTGTGGGTGTGTGTGGGTGTGTGTGTGGGGAAGAGGGGGTCCATACACGAAGAACAACCTGAATGGTGAACATGATCTCCATTGCAGTAGAACAATGCTTGTTCTAAATAGGACATGAGAGGCATTCAGCCTTCCCTCACTCCCCGCGTACAGGACGACCAGCGCTTGTCTGCAGGAGCCGAGACAGACTGGGTGCAATGAGGCGTCTGTTCCAGGTGATAGCGAGTGTGTGGGATCCTGCACTGTTGCATGCATCCATTAAGTGTCATCCCCGACAGCGTCCCGTGTTTTCACAGCATCAATCAGATCCTTATTTGGAGAAGGGCGGGCATCGCTGTAACAGATGGGCAGGTGGCGCCGTGCAGCAGGACGCCATCGCCTCTGCTCTGAGGCCAGCGGGTCTGCTCCTTTACACCTTCCTCTGAGGATTTCGGTTCTCACCGACCACACCGACCAGATACAGATAGCTAGCCACATCAGCAGCTTTAGATCCCAAAAATAGGGAAGCCAAAACAAAACAACAAAAAAAAGCATGCTAAAGGAAGTGTTTGCATGTTGACATTTTTCAGTGGCCATTTACTGAACACTGTTTGACCTTTTGAGATTTGTCACATTGTTGGGATAACTTTTTATTAGGGATG